GCTCGTACACGGCGTACTTGCCCCAGAACGTTGCCGCAAAGTCGTTTCGGATCTGGACCATCTCGGCATTGGGCAGCTTCGTGTGGCAAGGGACACGCTGGGAGAACCTGTGGCGGTGGGCAAACGACTGACACAAGCCGAGGAGTGACTTGTATGGATCGACCTTGTTCGCCATGTAGCCAGTCAGCCACTCCTGGTAGTGTGTCTTCATGAAGTTGATCATGTGCATCGAGGTCAGTATGTGCTCGTCGCGCCGCGTCGCGCCGCACGTCCTTCATGAAGGTCAAGAGGTCGCGCTCGAAGGGTATGATGCTCTTTGCACCCTGGCCACCTAGGGTCTTGCGCTTGGCGTTGCGGCGTGTGCTCATAATATTCGCGCGCTGCTTCGTCCACGACTTCCAGGTTTCCCGTGGAAGTCCATGCAGCGCGCAAAACGTACGAGCACTGCCACCGAATGCGTCGAAGAGGACGAAGTACTCGCGCTTTCGATCAATGGTGTAGGCGTGCTGCTTGCGGAGTGGAGGCATGGTGGAGCGTTTGAAACTGTCGGGTTTGAAAATACCTTGTGAAATTCAAACGCACCAATCATAACGACTTATTTTATATGGTTTGTGATTGGCTAGGTTTCATTAAATCTGTTTATGGAGGTCATCGTTTGGCAATAAAAATACATCCATTTTTAGAGGTGGGTGAGTTTCTAGGGTGGGTGAGTTTCTCCCCGGTTCTCTGTATTTGGACCGAAGTCGGCCTTAACCTCCCACTGCAGTGATAAAACGCATGAAATCGGTATTTAACGTATTTGGTTTTTGGGTTTAACTACCTTAAATGTACGTTAAATAATAAAACCTCCACTCTTCGATAAGAGTCACATATTAAAATCAAGATACACCTCAGCGGCCACCCCTATTGCCAAATATCCAAGCGCCCATGTAAACTGCCGCTAGGTTAACTGTAAATATCTATTTCTGACCAATTCATCACCAAATTTGATTTCTTCACCACATTGAGATCTGTAGATTATACGTCTCAATTTGCTGAATTTTGTAGTAATGAATACCAGTATGAAATAGAAGTCAGAAATTTTGTGAAAAGTTGGTAGTTTATAGGTGACGTGCATCATACACTGTAAAACGCTTGTACGCAGTAAAAACTACAGTGCACTGCTTGAGTAGTGCTAAGTAAACCGTAGGGAGCAACTTATTGTCGGGGTAGGGACGGTGTGCAACAGCCTCCCCATGTGACCTGCAGTGCGTTTCGTAAGTCCGCGTAACTTTGGACCCACTCATTTGCTATTTTATCCTAACACCGAGAAGAACATGCATGGTCATGAACACTGAGCAGAACATGCATGACATGAACACGGAGAACACGCATGACATGAACATACCTTGCATCCTCCAACAGAAATTCTCGAATGACGCCATGCCAGAATTGTGGTGCCACGATAGTCTAATTATTCACCAATATATAACCAATGGAATAGTGGTGTCATTGTTTTTGTATTTGCGTATTGAAAGTAGTGTTATCTGACTAAATGGGATGTAATATTGCAGGTTAGTCAATTGCAATGGGTGAGATATCATGATGATAGAGAATTTCGTATTCCTTCGATCACATGTCACAATTGACCGAATAGAATAGTTGCGTCTTAGCTATTGTGTTTTCCTGTTGAAAACTGAGATTTTCTACTGCACTGGACGAAATATATCTGGTTATTTGTTTGTGTACAGTACTCGCACCGTACAGTGTGTGAAAGAAGCGTTTCGAAACAAACACATGGCAGGTCAGTGGACATTTCTACTTGGTTTAAGTATCGCATTTAAGTGGGAGTGCCGTTCCCCCTACACGACCAAATGACTTGACATTTGTATTGCACAGGACACCACGACCGCGTCACTTCCACAACCTCGTCGCCGTTTGTTGAAACGTTGTCTACTAACCCCTGTCCTTCACACATGATTACATTGACCCTTTGGTCGTGATTTCTGAAAACACATCATTAAATTCGGCGATTTCTGATCCAAAATGTCCAAGGGCATTTGAAAAGTGTAAATATGGCAAACTGAGCCATTTGTCGAGCGATCACCATCAGGCAAAATGGATTTCATTTTAAAAATGACGTCACTGAAATTTCACCATAGTTAAAAGCAAGAGACACTTTTTGACCCTTACAAACGCGAGCTTAAAAAGCTACTTTAATGAGATGGGTAGTTTAGATTTAAAAATGACGTCATTTGAAATTTCACCATAGTTAAAAGCAAGAGACACTTTTTTACCCTGACAAACGCGAGCTACTTTAATGTTTATGAGATGGGTAGTTTAGAGTTAAAAATGACGTCATTTGAAATTTCACCATAGTTAAAAGCAAAAGACACTTTTTGACCCTTACAAACGCGAGTTTAAAAAGCTACTTTAATGAGAAGAGTAGTTTAGATATGGCAATCTGGGCCATTTGTCCAGCGACCACCATCAGGCAAATCAGATTTCATTTTAGAAATGACGTCATTTGAAATTTCATCATAGTTAAAAGCAAAAGACACTTTTTGACCCTTACAAACGCGAGCTTAAAAAGCTACTTTAATTAGAAGAGTAGTTTTCTAGATACAAGCGATAAAAATATCGATCTTACAAAATGCAAGTAAAATATATTAATGAAATTGAAGGCCCAAGAGGTGAGCCAAATCATTGTCAAGTCTTCTTCCAAGTCAGCATCAACTGCAAGCTTTTCTATCTGAGAGCTAAACTCTCCCATTTCCATAGCGATTGCTACCTCAGCTTCAAGTTCATCAATCTTTCTCACCATGTCTGTCGCGCAGAGGAGTTCCAACCCTTGATTCACGATGTTTGCGTCAACACTCACGACATCTGGCAACATCTCTTTGGCCGCCAGCGCTTTATTTTGCATGTGTGGTATCTTTTAGTTGTTGTTTCCGGCCATGGCAATACTAGTACTAGTACTAGTACAGAGAACCGAGTAGGAATGGCGCAAGTGCCTGAAATATCCCAATACTGTATAGCTATATACACTACTGTATAAGCTCAAGGAACCCAGGGGTTCCGGGGTTACAGTTGGATTTGGTAATAATGATTACGGAACAATAGTACAATTGTTCTGTGCTATAAATAGTACTGTAGGGGACGAGTGATATGGGTATGGTCGAATCGGATTGGTTATAATTCAAATTTCTCAAAAAAATATCTGACCTGTACACAACAAATCTATTTCTTTCATAGTAGTCATTGTCGGCTAGTGGGAAGAGCATAGGGTCTGAAAGGCCCCGGTTTCAATACTGTGTATTTCTTGTCTTTTTTCCACATAGACTAAGGCTTATACTCCCTCCGTCCCACAATAATGGTTCAATCAGAATTTTGATGTATGGCTCCTTGAAAAAGAATAGTACATTTCACTGCCAAAAATAATGATTTATTTTTGGAGGTGTAACGGTACAAAGAAGAAGAACTGTGGGACATTATACGTCATCTTCGGATGATAGTTCGGATAACGAGGCTGAACCGGATAATGAATGAAAGTTCGGATAATACACACCATTTGTTTGTTGCGGGTTAGGGGTAGACATCCGGATCCGGAAAGAAGAACTTGTACCCCGCTACCTCTCACAGGACACCAAAATATCCAATTGTCGAATTATGCAATTCTGACAGCGCCAATCGATTCAAGAGGGGGGTTTACCCCGAGAACCATTCCAATGAGCACAATAAGCCTACGGACTACCAACACCACTATCTGCATGAGCGTCTATTCATCACACTCATCGACACTATATACTTATCAATACTTATCGACTCAATGCCAACATCGTTCAGGGCACCAATCATGTCGTCCACGCCGTGGGGATAAATCAACACAATTTCTTCGATTTGGCACGCAAGCTCGTTCACCGCGACCGCCTCCGCAAGCTCAGCAGCAATCTCTCGTTCCAGACGCTCACTGTCCGCTCCGACCAAGGCAGCGCGTGCGGCATCAAATTTGTCGACAGAACACATAACGTTCTGAGGTAAGATTCCCAGTCGCTGCTTATTCTCCTTCGCCATGTGCGGTATCTTGTAGGTGTTGTCACCCTTGACCTTCATGGTCTCAATAAGACAGCTTTGCAGCGTCGAAACAGTTGTCACCCTTGACCTTCATGGTCTCGATAAGACCGTTTTGCAGCGTAAAAACTTGCTACCAAGACGTTCAAACGAGTACTCCACAAAGGCATTGGCAACATGGGCCACAATCTCGTCGATTGAGCGTGCTGACTTCTGGTGTTGTAGGGATTGAGTGGCTGCAAAAACTCCTTGATCCAGGATTTTCGTGTCCGGGGAATTCGGTGTGTGTAGATACTCCAGCCTTGTTTGCATAGTTCCGCCAAGGTGTAGCGCAACTTGAAGTCGGAATGACGTCGGCTCGGGCGTTGAGGTGCTGTATCATGTCGTGACGATTGTTCGTTGGCCACTTGGCGATCATGGCAGGTACGACCTTGTGGACAAGAAACTCCCGGAACTCGTCTTTGGTCACCGTGATTGGCTTTGTTTCATGTGATCCGGCGGTGCGATTATTGCTCGAGCGCTGTTCTAGCACGGCTTCGAACGGCCACGTACCGATCTTCCCATCGCACAAAGGTTCTCCTGTATTCAACGGCCACATAACCTTGGTAACGAAGCGGTTGCTTTTGCACTTTCTATCCTGGCGTGGTCTCGCCAGGGACGAGGTAGTACCTGTGGTTAGTCTTAGTAAGATTGAACCACCTTTTGTCAATATGGGCGTAGTTTAGCTCTTGTATTTCCATATCGTGCTTGACGAAGCCCAAGGCAGCCTTTAGACGAGCGTACTTGTTCGTCTTCGTCAAAAGTGGACGAATCGCATTAGAATGCGCACGAAACATCCCCAGTTTGAGATATCGATGGAGTGATCCGCGACTTATTCCTAGATTGTTCGTAAGTATATTGCACTCACGAAATACTCCTACTGGTCTGTGCAGATAGAGCACGTAGTGTCGTACGATTCGCCAAAGGTACTTTCAACGGCTTAGCTTTAACCTCAGCTGGCTTAGCTTTAACCTCAGCTGCCGCTTTTCCTTGCCCTTTTTCAAGTTGGCCACGGACACAAACATGTTGCCTATTTGAATTTTACCTACAAATATAATGACAAGACATGTACACCCTCCCCAAAGTCGAACTATTATTGTGGGACGGAGGGAATAGTTGCGAGCGACGACCGAGCATCCGCCCACAAAATTGCGCCCACCGCAGCGTAGCTGAGGTCGTGTGTATAATTTTGTGCAGGCGGTGACTTGGCGAGGAGTGAGCCCCGATTGTGCACTTCACCGAATGTCTCTCGTCGAAAAAAGCGGTAGGTAGGCCCAAGGCCGAGCCGCTACCCTAACGAGGCCTGTTCAACGACGAAGTACTTTTACTCGATGTTTGTATTGAGGCAAAAGATATGATCGATTTAATTGTAACCAATCAGAATTGAATGCACCCATATCATCGTCTATTGTAATGGGCTCTGTACAGTACTACTGTAGTTACACCATTTTCCATTCGGTTCAGGTTATTTACGGAATTTCTCGACTGCTGCACAAGTGATTCAACTGATCCTCGCCATGTGCGTTATGTTCGCCAAGCATTTGTTATATTTCGTCCAGACCCTACATCGTTCGTTAGCAGTGAAATTGACGCAGTAACGAAGTAGCCAATGAAATTTTCGAAAAAAGTACTTTCGATCAATCAAATTACAGGTGTATCACCCCCAGTGAGTACATATAATCTCCGGGGTTAAGAGGTGGTCTGAGCATATACAAAGTTCCTTATAAATCATATTGAAACAGTATTTCGGGTCAAAACAACAGTGGAACTGTTTTAATGAGGGAATTGTACTTAACCGTATGATTTGCCACCCTTCTTGTTTGTGATTATTCGCTACACGCCTGTCTTACCACGAAATGAATTACCCTAATTGGAGGCACAACGAACAATTCATTTTCAATTTAACGGGCTTCCATGGCAAGCCGCAACAAGGAGGCGGCCGACTTGGAGGAGCGCGTGTCGTACATCCAATCGAACACGGCCAAAGATGATGATGGGTACGTCGAAGCGAAATCACCCAAGGGCCTGGAAGAGGGGGCGCTGGCTGAAGGGGGTGCGCTAAACTTGTTCTCCCGCGAAGCGTTTGCCCTGTTCATACAGTACGGCGCCATCGGGATCATCTACAGCTTAATCCCCGCGCTCCGTTATCCCATCTTCAACATCTACCTCAACTTGGAGGGTTACCAAACGTCGTCGTACTGGGTGTTGGTACGCATCGGGTGGTCGTTCAAGGTCTTTTTTGGCCTGTTGTCGGATTGTGTCCCCATCTATGGTTACCGTCGTAAGTCGTGGATTTTGATCGGGTGGACCATCACGATGATCTGTCTTAGTGTGATGGCGTTTACGCCGTTCGGCGAACCATTTTGTAACCGCGAAAAGACCAAGCATTGTGGTACGCCGTTGGAAGAGGTGCCAGAGCCCGAGCTGCAGTACTTCAACTTATCCGCCCCCGACAACGGCACGTTGTTCATCCTTCTGTCCATGTTTATAGCATTTGGGTACGTCTTGGCTGCGAGTGCGTCGGACGCGATGGTGGTCGAGTACGCCCAGCGAGAACCCATTGCCCTCCGCGGCCGCATCCAGACCGCTATCTACACCGTGCGCACGCTCACTGGCATCCTCGGTCACTTGGTGAGTGCGTTCGGGCTGAACGGCACCAACTACGGCGGGTCATTTTCGTTTGCGTTGTCGCCGAATGCTCCGTACGGCATTGCCTTGGCGCCATGTGTTCTGGTGGTGCTCTCGACATTATTTGTTCTTGTGGAGAAGAAGTCTGAATCTGTGTCCTTCCCCCTATGGTGGGGCAAGTTTTGGGAATCTCTCCAGAGTCGCGTGATGTGGCAAGTTTGTTTGTTCCGATTCCTCAGCAACGTGTTCAATGGCGTCAAAACCACTGCAACGTTACCCATTCAGACGCACTGGGCGGGGGTCGAACCTCTCAACGATGCGCTCTCGGACATCTTTGGCAATATGGTGTTTGCCTCTGTTTTGGTGATTGTGGCCAAATGGGGGCTTCACTGGAATTGGCGCTGGACCATCGCAGCTGGTACCCTCGGGATGGTACTCGTCGATGGCTTTGTCGTATTCTTCACCATCTGGGACGTCGTGCGTAACCAGTGGTTCTTCAATGGAGTGGGGCTGGCCGAGGAATTTCCCCATGGCCTCCGCTTTATCGTTTCCACGTATGTGGCCGTGGAAATCGCCGATAAGGGCAACGAAGGAGCCACGTACGGCCTGATCTCCACTGTGAGTAATCTCTCGGGGCCCTTTGCCAGCATCTTTTACAAGTATGTTAACTCGTTCTTCAAAGTACGTCAGAATGACGTCAAGTCCGACACGCTCGAGGTGCGGTGGGACGTCACGTACGTCTACTTTATTTCGTATGGGTCCAAGATCGCGTCGTTGTTTTGGCTGTTCTTGCTGCCTCCCCAAAAGGCAGAAGTGAAGGCCCTGAAGGCGCGCGGTGGCAAGAGCAAAGTGGCGGGGTTCATTCTCGTGTCCTTGTTTTTCTTCTGCGTGTCGTTCACCGTGTCCAGCAACATCATGTCCATCTTCCCTTCCACCAAGTGCTACCGTATCGCAGGGGGCAACGGAGTGTTGGACCCCAACACGGGCAAGTGCCCCCTCAAGTAGAAAAAGATGTCTTGCATTTTGAAGTAGCGTATAATGTACATTGTATAACGTTATCTCGTGTTGTCGTGGCGGTTCCAATTTTGATCCATAAGTGAGGCGATCGACATGTAAGGTTTGCGTCAACGTTACGGTATAAAGTAGCAATCACGTGGCCACGTACTGGGCGGGGGTCGAACCCATCAACAATTCGATGGCTAGCGTCTTGGGCACTTGGTTTACTGAGCACCTTACGAATGAAATGCGAATCCTCCCTTTATCAAATAATAGTATGTACTTTGAGAGAATTGTTAGACATTTGGACTTGACAGCAAAGGCAACATCGCTCACGCCTGCCAACATGATGGACTAGTATGTCGCACTTAGCCAAGATCCACCTCGCACTGTCCGCAAGACCACCACAGCGACTCAAGCCGCTTGAGTCGATGTGGTCCTGCGGACGGGTGGGTCCAACGCCAACGCATGCAAACACGTAGCGCAACACCCTCGATACTGTACCTGAACAAAACAAAAACCAACTGGCGACAACAAGCATGCGCCGACCGTTTCGCCAGATATCTTGGATAAGCCCACGACACGTCCACCGAAGCTAACTGTTTCCGATTCAAATTTTGGCGGATGTATGAGTGGCCAGTACACATTTTCCTGGGCGTTCGTTAGAAACAACTCTACGTCGAAATACTGCGGCGTGCTTCGCACACAATTAGATACATCATAAATGGAAACGAGGCCATGGGCAACGTATTGTTCGTCGATCTGACTTGGTCAATGAACAATGCGTTCCCTGTCATAGTACAACCAACCGGTAAGTGTCGTGCTAGTTCTGGAGATAGCATATATATCAGTGTTAATTCAATATTATCCGTAAATTATTACTACTCTGGTCTACAATGATCGTTACAGTTTCGTTTTATTGGCGGAATTTTTCTAAAACAACTCGGATAGCACTTCTGATTAGTTCTTTAGACAGCGCAGGATCTCAGCTTTGATTGGACGCATTGTGAGTGCAAAAACTCATTATGGTTCAAAAGTTATGAGGCGGGAAAAATGCCAACGAGTGCTTGAGGCATCAAATTCTTGCGCCAGATAGTCATAACTTAATTTGACACCCAGTCGACTGCACCTTCTGTACTACAATGTTGATCTATGCCATCACCCACGACCACACACTCAACATTAAACCTGGTCCGAGCAAGTCACCTACGAAATCTCTCCGAGGACGAATGTCGCGGAGCTTACGAGATGCTTCTCGTACGCATGCACCACGACCAGCTACCATATGGTGCTGTATCTGATGTGGCTCGGCACTTTCAGTGCCACAGGGTTACCATATCGCGACTCTGGAAACGTGGACGCCTCTCTCTCCTCCACGGCGCTCCCATGGCGGACATCGCTGCCAAAATTCGAGGTATGACCTCTATAAAATTATATATGAATGAAAACCATGAATTTTGAGAAGTATGCAATTTTAAAGGATTACTCTTTTAGGCAATTCTGGGTCGAAAGCTCGGCGATCCGCCGAAGTAATTGAAGCGACGATTAAAACCGTGCCCCAAGAAGATCGCCAAACACTGCGCTCCCTGGCCGCACACAGTGGTATATCCAAGACGACCATCATGCGCCACATGGCAGCAACCAAAAAGATCATGGCGCGATCAAGCCATGTCAAACCATTCTTGACGGACGCCAACAAGACCGAGCGCCTGCGCTTTGCGATCAATTTTCACTTGCCTGGGTCAAAAGGGAGACACTTCTTTGACAATACGTACAATCAGGTACATATCGATCAGAAGTGGTTCTTTTTGACTCAGGCTAAGAGAAAATTCTACGTATACGAAGATGAAGAACTGGCCCATCGCGCCGCCAAATCCAAACGATGTATCACAAAAGTGATGTTTTTGGCCGCCGTTGCACGTCCCCGGAACGATCCCCACCTACGACAAGAATTCGATGGCAAGCTGGGTATTTGGCCGTTTATCCAACGTCTGCCAGCAGCTAGAAATAGTAAAAATCGCCCAAAAGGGACTCTTGTTGTCACGCCGCAAATTGTCGATTCACATGTCTATTTCGACTGTGTTGTGAACAATGTGGTGCCTGCAATTGTGGCGAAATTCCCCCAAGGTTGCCTGCATCGAGGTGTGCAAATTCAACACGATAATTCTGGCCCCCACCGGCGCTTGACAACCCATCTTTTGCGGTCCAACGGTGTTAACCGTATCAGCATGTCAAACCAGCCTCCAAATAGCCCAGATTTCAACGTTCTAGAATTAGGTAATTTTAATGCTATTCAAAGCCTGCAGTATCAGAAGAGAACTCGTACAATCGAGGAACGCATTGGTGCTGTTGAATGTGCATTTTTTTAGATGCCTGTCAAAACTCTGGCGAAGACATTTGTCACGCTACAAAAGATTATGGAAACATCCATGGAGGTGCTCGGGGGCAATAACTATAAGCTTCCGCATCTCAGAAAGGGTTGTACGATTCAAGACCTGTCGACTTTCATAGTTCATTGTGCTGCGTCAACGTAAAGTAGCGTTCATGCTCAATTGAATTCGCAAGTCTAAGTACCTTGAATAAAATATGTACAATCAATTAAATTTCAATAGTCTTCTAACCCAGTGACTTAGACTTCAGCCAAAGACTCTGCATAATCCAGGAGAGCAAAGTGCTCTTGGAAGTTATGTCGTTGCAAATCAACAACGAATGTATTAGGCAAGGACTGACGTTCAAGGCATAAAGTCAGCAATGAAGTCATGACTTTGTAAACGCGTGTACACATAATCATTCGCAAATCTGCGTGTGAATTAGGAAATCACTCAGTGTTTTACGAAATGACTATGTC